AAGAAGGGGAGGAGGAAAAGAAGAATGAGGAGCAAGAGAAAAAGAAAAATGAGGAGCAAGAGAAGAAGAAAGAGGAAGAAGAGGAGGAGTAGGAAGAGGAGGAGGAGCAGGAAGAGAAGAAGGTGGAGTAAGAGGAGGAGAAGTAGGAGGACAAATGGGAGGATGAAGAGAAGAAGGAGAGAGGAAGAGAGGGGCTAATGAAAATGATAGAGGGGCAATAGGAAGGGGAGGAAAGGGAGAAAAGAGGACGACAGGGGAGAAGGAAATCAAAGAGAGAGAAAAGGGGGATGTATTGGGAGTAGCATGGGTAAGAGAGAAGGAGGAGGAGGAGGAGGAGGAGAAGAGGGAGTAGGTGAGACCGTGAGACCTCAAGGCTTCAGTACAAAACAACACACAAGGGAACAAGTCTGGTCTAACCTGTTTACAATTTCACGGTGGGCGGGGCTAGCATCTCACAATCTAGCCAGGGTCAGTATAAAATTACCCCACCAATGTTTGTAAGGTCGGTTCTCTCAATGGCTTCAACGGGATGATTGTCCTTACGGTTATGTGTGCCTTCATGTCATAGCAGGGAGAATACTGACCTCAACGGCATGAATGAAATTAAGAATTACGTCTAGTGAATCATATTTATTTTGTTTATGTTTCACCTGCTACATTAACTAGAATATTATTGAGTTATTATAGTAAGTTTGTCTTCTATATTGGCTCTTCATTTAAAACTTTGTAAGATAAATGAGTAAATACGTTAAATTATTACCCTAAAATATTATAACAGAGATAACAATCTTATAAAAATGTACCTGTCTTTGAGTACCTTAACGTATATCTGTACTGGTAATGTATCTGTCCGTGTACCCTGTATTTATAACTGCGCCTCTACCTGTATTGCAAATGTAACTTTTTTCCAACTTCTTGTCCCCCCCCAAAAAAAATCATACTGCCTTGACACCAATGCCCTTTGTCACAGATCCTCATATTAAGCGTGTACTACTTTACTGTAATCATGAGAAATAGAAGAGGTAAATAAATGCCTGTTAGAGACATCAAATGGTGAGCAAGTCAGATGTGGGTGACAGTATATGCATTTTTTATTAATTTCCGTGCAAGTATACAAAATGTCATGGTATAATTCTGTATATATTATTTATGAGGAGTTGTGTATGCTGTCGTAAACTTGACATCTCTGTACCTACACTTGGATCTATATCAACTTGTGCTTGTATCTGAAATCTGCATCTGCCTTTGCATCTACCTGTAATATACATATGTATCTGTTTACCTGCGGCTATCCTGTTGCTGCACCTGTATATTTTGCCTGTACTTATATTGTATTTGTTGTACGTATATTTACAGCTGAACCCATAGAAAATAGACAATTTTGTGACCCATACCTGTAAGAAAAATTTCATCTGTACTTGTATATGTACTGTAATTGTCATTATACATATACATAATCCACGAACTTACAAATTATACTGTTCTTGTACATATACTTATATTCTCACCTATATTATTCTTGATTCTGTTTGTATCTCGGCTTATAACATGTACCTGTATTTTGATTTGTAATTGTATCCATCGACTACAGTTGTTTCCATACCAACAGAAAAAAGTGAAATAGGAGAGTAAATCTCACCTGCCTGACCTTATCACTCTATCAGTTGTGTAAGTTGAAGGGCGGCAGGCGAGGACATGAGCTGTTTGTTTCTGACTGGCGTGAGATATAAGGGACCTTGAACACTACTTGGAAGATATTTAATTCTATAAGAGACTTCAGGGGAAGAGATCGTGTACCAGAGGGTTTATATAACACATCTGAGACTCTTTCTTGCATCTCGTATGTAAAAACAGGCTTCAGACTAAAGTCACATTCATCAACATACACTTGGAACTCATGATCAGGGCCAGAAATAGAATATTCATCACTCACAGGACAAAAAGGATTAGGTCGCATAGTTCCAGTGTTCCTACGAGGCCAGTGGCAGGATGTTGGGCTAGGATTCTCTAAGGTTTGTTCACTAAAGTTACGGTTCGTGTTGTCAGTGCAGAAGGTGTGGCTACTGTTGACACACCTGAAACTTGTAGTGTGAAAAGCTTTCCATATGAGTCAGTCAGTTTATGAGAACGCATCTAACGGGCTCACTGAAGCTTAAAGCAAGAGAGAGGTGGCTAGTGTGGTAAAAATAATCACACAGAGACAATACTATGAGTAGAATTGAAGCTTAAGCGAGTCAATGAACTAAGAACCAGTAACCCAATTTAATACGTTCTCACGATATTAATTAACTGGGAGATTCATCGTAAAACTCTCTAAGAATCCGACTATGTGCCGCTAGTAAGTCTTCACATCACCAGTAAAGTGGACAACATATTATCATGGTAGTGTTTGGGTCTCGGTGTGGTGGTGGACATAACTGGCACGGGGAACACCCAACGTACTGTACCTCATTCACCACCAGCGGCCTTGTGCACCCCTCTTGTATGCCACACTGACTCTGATGCACGCACACACACACACACACACACACACACACCACGGACCTACTACCCTCCACCACGGACCTACTGCCCTCCACCACGGACCTACTGCCCTCCACCACGGACCTACTACCCTCCCCCACGGACCTACTACCCTCCACCATGGGCCTACTACCTCCACCACGGACCTACTACTACCTACTACCCACCACCATGAGACCTTCCACCACGGACCTACTACCCACACCACGGACCCCTACCTCTACCACGGACCCCTACCTTCCACCACGGACCTACCACCCACCCTCCACCACGGACCTACTACCCTCCACCACGGACCTACTACCTCCCCCAGGCCACCTCACCACAGACCTACCCTCCCACCACGGACCTCCACCACGGACCTACGCACACCACGGCCCTAGTGCCCTCCACCACGGACCTACTACCTCCACCACTGACCCTACCCATACCACGGATCTACTACCACGGCCCTCCACCACGGACCCTACCTCCACCACGGACCTACTACCCTCCACCACGGGACCGACTACCTCCACCACGGACCCACTACCCTCCAAGACCTACTACCCTCCACCACTACCTACTACCTCCACCACGGACCTGCACACCACTACCTCCACCACGGACCTACTACCTCCACACCACCTACCCACCACGGACCCTACTACCTCCACCACGGACCACTACCCACCACGGACCTACTACCCTCCACCACGGACCTACCACTTCCACCACGGACCCACTACCCTCCACCACGGACCATTCCACCACGGCCTACTACCTCCACCACGGCCTACTACCCTCCACCACGGACCCACTATCTCATTTACCCTCCACCACGGCCACTCTCCACCACGGGCCCATACTCCACAACGGGCCTACTACCTCCACCACGGACCTAATACCTCCACCACGGGCCTACTACCTCCACCACGGACCTCCACCACGGACCTACTACCTCCACCACGACCTACTACCCTCCGCCATGGGCCTACCACCCTCCGCCACGGACCTACATTGCCCTCCATCACGGACCGACTCCTACCCCTCCACCGCCCTCCACCACGGACCCTCCACCACGGACCTACTACCTCCACCCACGGACCCCACTACCCTCCACCACGGACCTATACTCTCCACCACGACCTACAATATTACCCTCCACCACGGACCCTCCCTCCCACGGGCCTACTACCTCCACCACGGACCTATTACCCTCCACCACGGACCTACTACCCTCCACCACGGACCTACCTCCACCACGGACCATTTCTCCTCCACCACGGGCCTTCTGCCCTCCACCACGGACCTACTACCCTTCACCACGGACCTACCTACCTCCATCACGGACCTACTACCTCCACCACGGACCTACCTACCTCCACCACGGACCTACTACCCTCCACCACGGACCTACTACTCACGGACCTACTACCTCCATCACGGACTTACTACCTCCACCACGGACTTCTGCCCTCCACCACAGACTACCCTCCACCACGGATCTACTTGCCCTCCACCACAGATACTACATGCACCTCCATTTACACATACGTGAGAGAAACCACCCATTAAGGTCTTGCATCACGTGATAGAGAACCATTAGTCTTTAAGGTCTTGCATCACGTGATAGAGAACCATTGGTCTTTAAGGTCTTGCATCACGTGATAGAGAACCATTGGTCTTTAAGGTCTTGCATCACGTGATAGAGAACCATTCGTCTTTAAGGTCTTGCATCACGTGATAGAGAACCATTGGTCTTTAAGGTCTTGCATCACGTGATAGAGAACCATTGGTCTTTAAGGTCTTGCATCACGTGATAGAGAACCATTGGTCTTTAAGGTCTTGCATCACGTGATAGAGAACCATTGGTCTTTAAGGTCTTGCATCACGTGATAGAGAACGTTTATACTTTGAAAGTTTGTATAATGAATTAAAGACTTTCTAGTATTTATATTGAAATAGATTGGTTTCTATTTAAAAAAATTAGGCAATAAATAGAAACCTTTTTATGTTGAGATAAAAAACATCTTTACCATAAGAAATTGAATTAAGGGCTTAGAAAACATTTGGTCTCTAAGTGCGTAAGAGAACCTTTGCTATGTTTATAAGTTCATTGAGTGTGAACTTTTGACCTTAAGTTCTTAGAGATAACTTGTGATCCTAAGTTCATGGGCCCAACCTTTAATTTTTAACTTGATGAGTAAAACCTCATGAAAATATAGCCTATTATTATTATTATGGATATAAGCGCCAGGTCAGTGCACCCAGATCTTCAACTACTTGCTGCACAACATTTGGTACTAACAAGGGCGGACTATAATGTATTTTTGTTATTGTCAGTACAAGTGTCGAGGCTCAGAGTACAGGGCACTCAACTATCATATGATATTTGATCCAACTTAGTTGGTGTACTAATCCTGTTGACCAGGATTATACAAAAACAAAAAATAAAATAGTCATTCGTTGTGTGAGAGGACAATAAAAACTGTGAGTTAAGTCGATAGAGTTATATTGTACAAAAGATAGAGATTATTTTCAGAAGCATAACGATCATCTTTGGCACGGGATGATGGGGACTGCCTGCTGACGAGGCCTCCCCGGATCTCCCTATGAGATAATGGACGGACAACTTACACCCTAATTCCCAGGGCGGCGGCGTGGGCGCGGAAGTGGGCGTCCTTGGCGGCGGCTACATTAGCGGTGTCCTGTACGTTACCTTGGACGCCTGCGGGCACTTCGTCCGCTAGGGGACCCGTCCACTTACTGATGGTATCAGGTGAAGCAGCAAAGCGGTGAGTGGCTGGCTGAGGGGCGGGGACGTGTCCTGCCCGGTGTCCTGCGTGGTGTCCGGCGAGATGTCCGGCGAGATGTCCAGCATGGTGTCCAGTGGAGGGAAAGGTGTTAGGGCCAGGAATGAACTGTTGGTTGCCGCCCAAGCTAGCTGAGAAGGAGTAGGCGTTGAAGGCTGGAGGGGCAGCGACGTGACTGGGGAGGGATGTATGGGCTGCACCAGGGCGGGGAGTTGCGTGATAGATGTGTATGTCAGGTGCCAGGGCCGCTAGTTCCGCCAGGCGGTTGTACTCCAGGATGAAGGCATTTCTGGCAGCATGTACTTCAGGAGTCTCGCGAGGAAATCCTTGGCCGAATGCCACGCCAAGTACTACACTCATGATGACCTGAAACACAACCTGGTCGTTACAACACCATTCTTCTCTATCTCAAACACATTCAACAGCTACTGTAATTATAAACGATCAATACATGTACAGTTTAAACTAAAAAAGGTACAGTATCTTCCTCGGGGTAACAGTAAGAGTCGTAATTGATTAAATAGATTCACCAGCGTAAGTACTCACTTAGCTATAAAATAGAGATACTGTACAGTGGTGACAGCGTCATAAAGGATGATAGATGATCAAGGTTCACGTATTGAGGACATTACTACAAGCACAGTATAAGAACAAGTACACGAGTGCGTTAGAGTTCATCTTTAGGTCAACAAGTGCGATCTTCCTACAAAGACAGGAGTACAAAACTTACTTTCTACAGATATTGTCAAATATTTCACCAAGATCATTGAAATGTGACTATCCAACTTTACACACATAAATCTGTTCGAGAATGAACAACTAAAATATTTTGTTAATATACATTAACAGTTCAACAACTTACTCATCTTAAGCATTAAATTTTACTGATGACCAATTAACATGAATCAGTAGCTTAAGGCCACCAAATATCTTCTAGTTTAAGCCAGCTTTAACACATATTTCAACATTATCGTACAAAAGACTGCTGCTACTTACGAGGGAACGCATGTTGCCGAGTTGATGTTGCTTCTGAGCGTAAGGACGAGAGAATAATGCTGGAAAGCTGGGCGGGTTGGCTTATATACGGCTGAAGGCGGGCGACCTTGTCAGCTGGGCCCTCAACACTTGCCTGGGGTCGCGCGGGACGGCCGTCACTTGCTTATTTTTCTCCACTAACAGGCCTACACCAGGCTACTATTTGGAGCCTTTATTTTTGTTTAGCGTCTCCTAATGGTATGCATAATTCTGTGTGGGATCCTGGAAGCTTATAGAAAACTACTGAAATACATACTAGTGAGGAATTTCTGATGCTGAACAATAATATTAGTCATAGAGCAGTGGATTATTTGGAAATACTACTTTTTTTCTCCATGGCTCTAGATAGTGTACTGTGCAGGATAATGAGTGGTATTCAAGATGCTTAAGGGAAGTATTCAGTCGGAAATTCTCGAGGAGATTATGAAGCTTAACACCACCACCTAACATACTCCAGTCCAATATTTCGGACAGGATTATACTGTAGTAGGAAGCGTCAGGTACGACTATTGAATCGAATACTGCCGAAGAAATTCCCAAGTCGAACAATAACAATAGCATTCTCTCAAGTGATTATTTGGGACCTCCACTGATAACACTACTTCTTTTCAATTTCTCTAAAATGGGAATCTCCAGGATACAAGTTGGAATAAAAGTGGCTCAGATGGTTGAATTGAATTATAAACGACAAAATCTCTATCAAGAACTAAATAATAAGGCCGAAACAGAGTGTCTGGGAGAGTTAGCATGACGAATAGACAGACACAAACACAAAATTCCTGGAGACATTCTCACTCTCACCAGCGGTTAGTTACTGAGGTCAATATCACATACGAATTCTTAATATATGGTGCCACACTATTGAAGGACTTTTTGAATCAATTTTCTTTTATAAGCCCCCCCAAAAAAACAAAAGCAAAACAAAAACAATGTAAATAAGACGCTTGCATAAAAAGTGAGACACAGAAACAGACAAACGGACAGGGAGATAAAAAAAAAAAAACCTAGAAATCCTTGAAAGAAAATGTGATAGATGTTATAATTAGTATTGACGTTAAGTTATTTTTTCATGTCCATGTTTTTATACTTATGAAGTTTTTATTGATTAATTGATTCTTCTTCTGTTATTAATGTTGTTATTGTTGTAGTTATTAATGTTATTATTGTTATAGTTATTGTATTTTCTTCTTTATTATTATTACTATTATTTTTGTTAGTTGTAAGAGAAGTCGCGAATAAAAAATCCCTTTGAGATTAACAGAAATTTGCAAATAATATAACTAATAATAACGATGAAAAATAATTACACTATAAATTTAATTGCCAATGACAAATTAATTATGGTGATAAAAATAATACATAAAACATAAATACAAGATAATAAATATAGTTATAATACAAATAAAATAAATTTATCTGAATTAACACACTAATTTAACCCTCACCCTAACTCATTTACATCCGAACGTATTTTAATAACAAATTTAAAACTAATATGTAACCAGGGTGACCAAGATGGCATCGGGAGACTGCACAGAGACACTAATCACCCTCTTAATAAAACTCATTCTCACTGTTTGTTGTGGTGAGGATGTGTTTAGCCTCTGGTCACGCGGTGGTGGTCTGTTCTAGTGAAGGCAAAAGGAATAATGTGTTTACAAAAGTATATACCACGTTAGACCGGGACGAGGATACATCTTTAACACTTAACACTTAAAAGAGAAATGGCGTATAATTTTGGCCTTATTTAAGTAGCAGACTCCGATCTTGGTAATGGCCGAGGTTCAAACATAATAGGAGATATTATAATGTCAGTTTTCTACAAGTCACAAATTGAAATAACAATGTGGACAAGAGAGTTTAAAATAGGTTGTGCAGGGATGCCTTTGACGACCCAGGTTCAAGATGGTGTACATGACTAACCTCTGGGGTGGAGCATAAAGGATAAGAATGAAAGGGAGATGAGTGGGGAGAGGGAAAAGAGAGTGGGGAGTGGGAAAAGAGAGTGGGGAGTGGAAAAGAGTGGGGAGAGAGAACGAGGTGGGGAGAGGGGAAAGAGAGTGGGGAGAGGGAAAAGAGAGTGGGGAGAGAGAAAATAGAGTGGGGAGAGGAAAATAGTGGGGGAGTGGGAAAAAGAGTGGGGAGAGGGAAAAGAGAGTGGGGAGAGGGAAAGGAGAGTGGGGAGAGGAAAATAGGTGGGGGAGTGGGAAAAGAGAGTGGGGAGAGGAGAGGTGGGGAGAGGAAAAGAGAGGGAGAGGGAAAAGAGAGTGGGAAGGGAAAATAAGTGAGGGAGGGAAAGAAGAGTGGGAGAGGAAAATAGAGTGGGGAGGGAAAAGAAGTGGGGAGGGGAAGGAGGTGGGGAGAGGGAAAAGAGAGTGGGGAGAGGGAAAAGAGGTGAGGGAGAGAAATAGAGTGGGGAGAGGAAATAGAGTGGGGGAGTGGGAAAAGAAGGTGGGGAGGCGAGGTGGGGAGGAGGAAAAGAGGTGGGGAGAGGGAAAAGAGAGTGGGGAGAGAGAAAATAGGGGGGAGAGGGAAAGAGTGGGGAGGGAAATAGAGTGGGGAGGGGAAAGAGAGTGGGGAGAGGGAAAAGAGTGAGGGAGAGGGAAAATAGTGGGAGTGGGAAAGAGAGGGGAGAGAGAGAAATAGAGTGGGGAGGGAAAGAGAGTGGGGAGAGGGAAAATAGAGTGGGAGAGGGAGAAAAGAGAGTGGGAGAGGGAAGTGGGGAGAGGGAAAAGTGAGGAGTGGAAAAGAGGGTGGGAGGAAACGAGAGTGGGGAGAGGGAAAGAGAGTGGGGAGAGGGGAAAAAGAAGGTGGGGAGAGGAGAAAAATAGAGGGGGAGAGGGAAAGAGAGTGGGAGAGGGAAAATAAGTGGGAAGGGAAAAGAGAGTGGGGAGAGGAAACGAGAGTGGGGAGAGGGAAAAGGAAAGTGGGGAGAGGGAAAAGAGAGTGGGAGAGAGAGAGAGAAAATAGAGTTGGGAGAGGGAAAATAGAGTGGGGAGGGAAAAGAGAGTGGGAGAGGAAACGAGATGGGGAGAGGGAAGAGAGTGGGGAGAGGAAAGGAGAGGGGGGAGAGAGAAAATAGAGTGGGGAGAGGGAAAATAGAGGTGGGGAGTGGGAAAAAAGAGGTGAGGAGAGGAAAAGAGAGTGGGGAGAGGGAAGAAAGAGGTGGGGAGAGGGAAAGAGAGTGGGGAGAGGAAAAGAGGAGTGGGGGAGGGAAGAGAGAGGGGAGAGGGAAAATAGAGTGGGGGAGGGGGAAAAGAGAGTGGGAGAGGGAAAAGGAAAGTGGGAGAGGGGAAAATAGAATGAGGGAGAGAGGGAGAAAATAGAGTGGGGAGAGGGAAAAGAGAGTGGGGAGAGGGAAAAAAGGTGGGGAGGGAAAGAGAGTGGGGAGAGGGAAAAGAGAGTGGGGAGAGGGAAAATAGAGTGGGGAGAGGGAAAATAGAGTGGGGAGAGGGAAAAGAGAGTAGGGAGAGGGAAAATAAAAAGGGGAGAGGGAAAAGAGAATGGGGAGAGGGAAAAGAGAGTGGGGAGAGGGAAAAGAGGTGTGGGGAGAGGGAAAAGAGAATGGGGAGAAGGAAGTATAGGCTGTGGTTAGGAGGCTGTAGAGGTAGTAGGTAGGGTCATGACAGGAGGAAGAGGAGTGTGGGAGGTGTTTGAGAAATGGGAGTGTGTGGACAGATGACTTTACTGTAGGATAAGTTAATATGTCCTCAAGAACACCTGTTTCATTGACGTAATTACTTAGTGGAGGATATTATGTCACATTAACGGTTAGGTTAGGTTAGTTAAGGATCTGGAAAGACGCCTGACTGACTGAGGTAGTTAGGATACAGTATTATCAGTGTTATATTATGGTGGTTAAGGTCACAATTAAATGTTTATCATAGTGTTACAGTGTGGGTACAGCCTCACTAACTGTTTACATGTGTCTGTATCCTGACCTGATTCTGGCTACGATTACAGCATACTGTGTGGTTCACTTATTGCGTTGGTAATACTGGCACCTCTTGTTACAACACATTATGTGGTTCACTTACTGTGTTGACCATATTGGTACTGTACACACATGCCAAAAAGTATCTTTTCGGAGGGATCCCATGAAGTTAAAATGAACACTGGGACTCCTGTTGTTCTCGGTAAGGTTGTCAAAACATTTTTCGTCCGTTTTATCATATTGTCTAACACAAAATAGCAAAGATATTTTTTGAGCGTGTATCCCTCGTGTCACACATGTTGGCACACTAATACTATTACTGTCAAGTATTTGTGTGTGTCTCAGTTTTTCCAAGCTGAAGATATTCTGTTTCCTATTGTTTGGTTTTTATGAAAACTTTAGATAGTCCAAAGTCATGGACTGTGTTATCTTTGCTGCTGCCTCGCTGGCCAATCAATTTACATATTCTTGTTTCCTAATGCCAGCATGGGACGCGCTTGGTAGTGCTCTTTCACACTCACTCTTTTTATTCTTCAGGAAACTGAAGAACGTGTTTGGTATTTCTGTGTGTGTGTGTGTGTGTGTGTGTGTGTGTGTGTGTGTGTGTGTGTGTGTGTGTGTGTGTGTGTGTGTTTAACTGTTTGTGATCGTGAATGCTGTTAGTCCGTTTATAGTATATGTGTGTCAGTGTGCACGTATAATTTGTTTGTACACTATATGCATTTGTGTAAGCATGAGAGTATTCCTAGATCCATTTGAGTATGTGAGTAATCTGTGTTGGCGCGCCAGTGAACGTGACCGCGCAGGTATTTACTCACACAAGCTCTCTCTCAGCGTCTCTCTCTCTGTACCTTGACCACTACACACAGGTGGCAGGAAGACCGACAAATGCGAGGTTAACGCTAAATTGACCACCACCACCAGATGCTATAGCCAGGTAAACACTCTTAATTAACCAGATAATATTGCCAGGTGGATACTCTATTAACCGATTAGTACATACATACATATATACATTACATACATATATACACACATACATATATACACACATACATTACATTACATACATACATACACCCTGACCTCTGAGGCTGTATTATAAATTGGACGCGGAAGAGACATCAGT